AATCAAGGCAATGGCATTGTAAAAAACTATTTTATTGTACTTTTGTGAAAGAAGAAATAATTTCATGGATGTATAAAGCATATGTTTATGACCTTAGATACATTTACTGTAGCTTAATAATTCTAGATCTGGTATAATATTTAAATAATTAGGTATCAACGTCCGTTTATTCCGAAATATTGTCATGTAACTTTTTAGAAAATTAAAATAGTGAATAATTTGATGAATATTTCCTTTATGATATTCCAACAGTACCCACTACTTTTCCATTGTACTTTTTCTTACGTTCTTGTGAAAAAAGAAGCGAAATATAAAAATATTTCATAGATACGTTTATAACCTTAAATATACACAGCCACGTGATCTCCTAATATAGACATATTATTAGAGTGCTACCAATGGGTAGTTCCTCAACATGTGTTTCATGTCATTAAATCCATGTGCGAATTTACCAGATTTATTTTTTGTATACTGTTATAAATATCATATAAATAAATTTTAAAATATATATATATATATATATATATATATATATATATACACTGACAGGCAAAAAATTCCACCCACTTGATTTTTTCATGTTTTCCTCTAAAAATATTTCTGCTTTGGATTGGTCTATTGTTTTTAATGAATAAATAGATAATGTTTTTGTTTGTTTTCAATTAGGAATGTTAATATAGAGGACAATAACCCTTAATCCTTAATTCAATGAAATGATTCTAGATTCCAATGTTTACTTTCTATAGAATCAAAATGTTTATTCAGTATCATTAGTTCAGTGTCGTTTCTTGCAGCACATTTCTTAGTCTCCGGCTTTTAATTTTTTCAATATTAAGTTTAAAAATGCCTCTTAGTGCTGAGGATGTTGCGCGTGGTGTGTCACTTATTGATGATGGACGTTCCATTAGATATGCAGCTATTGCCATAGGAGTTCCATATGAAACTTTACGAGACGCCGTCAAGCGTTTTTGGGAAACTGGCTCTTACAATAGAAGGCCCGGTTCTGGACGGCATAGGGTAACAGAACCAGGGGATGACCGGTTTTTGACTTTGCGAATTTTAAGAAACCGGCACCTTACCGTTGTTCAAGCGATTCATCAGCTCGAAGAAGTTCGAGGTATGCAAATTTCTGAACGTACCGCTCGGAGAAGATTAAATAAGTATGTATAAATGGCTTTTCGTCCAGTAAGAGGACCAGAGTTGACCAGAACTCACAGACTAACACGGCTGGCTTTTGCTCGAGAACACAGCTATTGGACTATGGACGAATGGAGTGCTGTACTTTTTACAGATGAGTCAAGATTCGCTCTTCGATCTCCAGACGGGCGTGAAAGGGTGTGGAGAAGAAGAAACGAAAGATATGCAGCCTGTAATTTTTCCCAGAGCCAACCTTTCCAACGTGGTTCCTTAATGGTGTGGGCTGGGATTTCAATGGAGCGCCGCACAGAATTGGTTATTGTTCGTGGAGGGTCTTTGACGGCCATTCGCTATGTAGATGAGATGTTGGAACCTCATGTGTTGCCAGATAAAAGACAATAGCCTTTGTAAATACAATTCTTTGAATATTGCTATATCCTTGGTTACAGGCACATCTTTTTCCAACTAAGCACGCTCGCTTTGACCACTGAGTATCCTGTGACCCTTGTCCGTGGGACTAGTTGGGCATCTTGACCATTTGGTATATTTATATGACGTGCATCCGCCCTAATTCTAAAAGCTGTCAATGTCACAACCCCGAATATCAGGCAGTTGTCCATCGGATTCCTTTTGAACTGTCAAGGCTTCCGCCCTTAGAGAAGTTTTATTACTTTACTTCTGAATATCCTTTGTCCAGTATCCCTACCGGCACCTACCCCTAGTTGGTTCCTAGAAACCAAGAAAACGCCTATCACCCCCCTCTCCTACTCCGGCCAATCTTATCCCCACCCAAGAGTTGGGCTATATTACCGCCCTTAATCTTAGAGAAATTCAATTCCATTCAATTCCATCATTCCATCTATAAATATCAGTAGATGTAACTTATGTAACATTAGTTTAGGCCTCACAAGGCTAGTTTGTAAGAAGTTCACTAAGATCATGTCAATATAACTTTATATTTTACAATAAAAGTATATTTCAAAGGCTTCACTGTTGTACGAGTTCGTTAATTTGCCTATCCTCAACGAAATCGGCGATCGTTCTATTCTAATGCACGATAATGCACGCCCAAATGTCGCCCGCATAGTGCTGACGTTCCTTCAACAGAACAATATTGAGGTTTTAGCCTGGCCACCACGTTCTCCAGATTTGAACCCCATTGAGCATTTATGGGATAACCTTGGAAGACGAATAAAACCGCGTGCAACAATTCCTGATACACTGCAGGACCTTGAAAGGGCTCTTCGGGAAGAATGGGCTATCCTCCAGCAAAGGGATTTGCATTATATACAAATACAACTTTTTTTACAAGTGGGTGGAATTTTTTGGCCTGTCAGTGTATTTACTGTAGTTTAATAACTCTAGATCTGATATTATATTTAAATATTTAGGTACCTATCGTCCGTTTATTCATAAAAATCATTATGTAATCTATTAGAAAATGAAATTAGTGAATTGTTTGATGAAATTTCTTTCTTCCGGCAAATCATCAATTTATCAATGTACTTTTGATAAATTAAATTAGGGAATAATTTGATCTATTTTTCCAAATTTTTGACATGTTTATGACAGACAATGTCTTAATTCCGTTTTAGTAAACTTTTCAATGGAAAATAACAGTTTAATAACTAATAGTCGTACAATCCACAATCAACGGATCGTGCAATCCATAATCACAACGGATCGTGCAATCCATAACCAACCGATGATATAATAAATAAAATTTTTATTATTTTGATGGTGTTCATGATTTGTTAGCTGTAATATATTAGCTTTGGCTCGGTTAAACATGCAATTCAAAAATTTTATAATAGCCCAACATGGCCGGAAAATAATTTCTATTCAAAGTTGAGCGGTAAGTGACAGTTTGTTGCGCGCACCAGATTTTTTATATATTAGTTTTAAAAAGTCCATAATTATTGATTAGTATGCTGTGTTTGTAGCAATCCAATATAATAGACTGTTTGAAAACGTAAATATTAGGATAAGGAATATTTAGTTATAGAATATTTGTTTACTTAATACAATAAGAATAAATTTCCATAATAGAGAAAAATACAGGGCTTTCATTATCAATTTCAAACATAAATTTGAAAAAGCGCAAAAGTTATTTAACAGGAAACTTTTTCTAAGAGTATGGTAATCGTAGACGAGTTGAAGGATGTAAAAAAATCACGAATATTCTATGATTGTATGAAAAATAAAACTTCTAACAAATTCTAACTGCATTAGAACTAAATTTTCTCTAGTTTATTATGAAATATTTATTAATTATCTTATATATTATTTCTCAAATATATATCCCTTTTCCGGCTCTTAGAAGTAATGGATTTTGACGAATGAGGTATCAATAGACAGAAAATATCGCGTAGAGTGCGCGAATCGTAATTTTTGTTCCTAATTTTATACTTGGACTTAAATAAAAGTGAATGTAAAAGTGGGAGATTTCAAACCGTATTATGATGCCGTATCAGCGAATCGAGACGTTACAAACTAATTCATAATTTGGGAATAAGTCGAAAACAACGCAATTTTTGCCTCATTATACATATGAGTATTTGAAAGCTTACTAAATTCCCTAAAAAAATGAGAAAAAAAAATCATCGAAATCGGACTACGTGGTGCATATCTATAGCGGTCTTAACATTTAGTATTAATTCTACTTAAAAGATTTTTTTTCTTCATTTCAGTTTTGGATTACTCAAAAACTTTAAATCTATTGTTGTAATAATTGTTTTTATCAAGTATATTTTAGTAGAATTTTATTTTTGTTCGAATCTTTCAAATTCAAGGATATATAATTGATATATAAAAATTCATAATATATAGAAAAACTTTATTTATTTATACTATATATATATATACTTCATGCTTGGATGATTTAAATGAATTAAAGCATGGAATAAATATATAAGGGTAAAATAAATCTTTTTTCTTGATATTATAAATTTATTAGCAGATTTTCTTATTTAACAGAAAATGATATAAAATTATTTCTTAATCTACCCTATTTTCTCTTCTGCTCTTTATTCGAAATTTTAAAATTTGGGCAATGACTCTTTTCTTCTTGAGACAGAATACATTGTATCAGTAAGTAATTATTCTAGATAATTTCAAAACATTTGGTTTTGTAAAATTAATTATAAAATTTGTTATAGTGCTATAAATCTGGAATGGTATATACTTCATTTTAAATATCTATATATAAGCTATTACATGTTTATCATTTTAAAAATTTACTTGATTATTTTTAATGACAAAAGAAACATTTCTTTATTTTTTTTTATTTTCTGTGAATACAGACAGCTAGGTCAAAACGTACCTTCCAGAGAACTAAATTCAAAGTATTTAGCCTTCATCAGATATTTAAAGGCAATGTTTAGAAGCTTTTGTAAACTTAAGAAAAAATATAATGTTATAATTATAAATTTAATGAAACTAGAAAGTGTTAATGGATGGGCAGAGACTATTATATTTATAAACTGATAACTAACTAAATAAAAGTATTAAACCTTTGTATAGAAACATTACTGAATGGAACATACAAATATAAGGTTTGTGCGAAGTATTCACACGGGTCAGCTAGTTTAAATTAATTTTGTTTTTGTTATCGCTGTAAATTCCACAAAACACATCACACTTTAAAAACCACAGAACAGAAATTATCCGTTTTTCTGTGCATAGTGCTAAATATTTTTAACTGAGATACTCCCAACATGTATATCTATAGATTTAAACTTTAAGCGTACATTAACTACCTTTTTGTTACTACGTACTTTTAAATAAAATAATTTATAAACCTTTATTTAATTTTATCAGGCAGACATCTCTTGGTTACTTATCCTTCTCCACAATCACCTTACCTGCTTTTTCGAGCTTCCCGCGCAGTCTGGTTGTCTTATCCATTGTATCTTTTATGATACCTCCCAAATTTAGAAAATTCTTTTTGTGCACCATTGATTGCATTTCTTCTAAATCATTAATAATATATTTTAAACTGCACTTGATATATTCCACAGAGACTCCTTCGTGATTGGGCCTTTCCTTTGTGGGTCCTTTCTGAGTGGGCTTTTCCTCCTTTGGTCCTTTCTGATTGGGCCCTTTGAGAACATCTTTGATACTCTTGTTGATATGGGGAACATTGAATGATTGGTCAAGGGCCGATTTCTCTGCGGGTCCTTTCTGAGTGGGCTTTTCCTCCTTTGGTCCTTTCTGATTGGGCCCTTTGAGAACATCTTTGATACTCTTGTTGATATGGGGAACATTGAATGATTGGTCAAGGGCCGATTTCTCTGCGGGTCCTTCCTCAGTGAGCTTTTCCTCTGTGGGTCCTTCCTGATTTGGCCCTTTGGTCGAATATTTCATCCCGTTGAGAGGCAGACGGACAAGTGGGTAGACATATGAGGAAGATTTGAATGCATACTTCAGATTTCTAAGCATTTTGAGGGAAGTATAAATCCAATTTCCTTTTTTTTTTCTTTTTTTTTTCCTCTGTAATGTTCTTAATCGTATTCTATTATCATATGGATACAAAACTGCCTTTTTTTTTTTTTGTATTATTTTATCAATAGTTTGACAAGATCATATGATTTAAACGAGAAGTACATCTCTTCCTCTCATATATATATATATACATATGAATATGGTGTCCCGTAAGTAGAAAGGGATATTTTAAGGGATGAAAGCAGATCTCAAGAGCCACAACAAAGTTTATACAATCATTTGACCGATTTTCCTCACAATAGTTGGAAATTTGAATTTGTGATTTTTTTTAAAGTATGTCACGGTTTTAGTTGAATAGGAAGCAATAATTGAAGAAATATTTAATTTAATTAATTAACAATTGCATAACGAGAATTGTATGAGGAAGAAGCGCAGGGATCTCCTGAAGTTTGACTTTTCCCTCTACAAGTGGGGGGGGGGGCAAGACTGGTTCCCCTGCCTGATTGTAAATAGTGTATGCCAGCGTATAAGATGTTTATTATTTTTTTTAAGAACATTTTAATTTTTTTTTTACTATTATTTTCGTCTCTCATTGTGATATTTTATTATGTTCTTATTTTGCTTATATTATATTGCTATCACTTTATTTATTTATGATTCTGTAAATATGCTGGAAATGTGGTTTCGAAACTCTATTGAGTTTGTATATTCGAAACTCTAAGTGTCCTTAATTTAAAAATATGTAAAATATGTAAAAAATAAATGTGGATTACAAGTAATCTTTTTGTTATCTTCCTCTAACAATGCTACTGGTAAATGAAATTGCTCATTAATAGAATCCGAATCTCCGTGCAGCAAACAAACTACACCTAAAAACGTACAAAAATCATTAATTTGTTTAATTTATAATATGTACCGATTTCAAATCCCTTGTTACTCCACTCATATCACTTCTCACAAGTCTCGTATCTCACCTCATCCCCCCTTTAAAAAATCCTTAATTGACTCACATCCCAAAACCCATATCCATTCTCCTTTTGAATGCGAATGGTGTTAGAAATCTTAAAGACGAACTACTTGACAAGAACATTGATGTTGTACTAATTACTGAAACTCGATCAGGAATGGGGTTCAAGAACCACGAATTCTCGTGGTAGATCCTTGCTGTCTGTACTCAATTCCCAAAATTTCAACCTTCTTCCTCCCAACTCACCTACGTACTGGCCAACTGTTCCTAACCGCAATCCTAATATCCTCGATTTTTTTATCCACAATGGTTTAGGTTCCCTCAATTATTCCCTTATCCGACTTGACGAACTTTCCTCAGATCATAGGCCATTAGTACTCCAATTATCTCTAGCTCCTATTCATAATTCTTCTCCACCGTCCTTCAGTAGAGGCCCAGTTAACTTGAAACTCTTTCATCGAATCATTTCCGATAAAATTTACCTCGGATCAACCTTGAAAACCCCAGAAGACCTTGACAATTCCGTACATTCCTTCACTATCACCATTCAACAAGCAGTATGGACAGCTTCCTCTCTATATCATTCCTCAAGAACCCTTAAAAAAAATAGTTTACCCCAATCCCTCATAGACCTACTGCACACCAAATGATGTGCCAGATCATTATAGCAACGCACCAAACACCCCATCGATCGCCGCTCCAACGATTATTATTGTAAACTACTACAGCAAAAATTATAATCCTTCAGATCCCAATCCTTTGATACTTACCTTACTTCTCTCTCTGTTCATGACAATTCCCTCTGGAAATCCACCAAAAAAATTCTAAAATCCCATTACATTTTCCACCCCTTTCGTCGATGCGATGACTCCTAGGCAGCGTCTGATGAAGATAAAGCTGAGAAATTCGCCAGACACCTCTCCAGTACATTCACTCCTCATCCAAAATCCCATCCAACCCCTACCGCAAAAGTAGAAGAATTCCTCTCTTCGCCGATTTCACTCTCCTTACCACTTAAAGCAGTTAATCCATCTGAGGTCAAACATCACTAACAAAATCTTCCTCTCCCTAAATCTCCTTGATACGACCTCCTAACCTGACAGATCCTTCGACAAATTCCACAGAAACCTATCATATTCCTTACATATACTTATGATTGCATCTTAAGAACTACCCACTTTCTTCTCCTATGGAAATACCATCGTCCTTTTCTGAAACCAGGCAAACCTGCCAACAATACATCATCCTATAGACCAATTAGCCTATTCCCAATCCTATTGGGGGTTTAAAGTTTTGAAAAGATCCTACTGAAAAGAATCCTACGCATAATAGAATCCCATAAAATTCCTATCCATCAATTCGGATTTCGTTCCCAACATTCCACTGTCCAACAAGGAATCCGAGTTGTCGATCATATATCCTCAGCCCTAGAAAAGAAGCAATACTGTTCGGGTGCATTTCTGGACATAGCACGGGCTTTTGACCGGGTATGGCACGCTGGACTACTCTTCAAGCTTAAATTGCATCTACCACAGTCGTTATATCTAATATTCCGTTCCTATTTCTCTTACCGTTCCTTTCAAGTTCGCTGTGGTACTGAATTCTCCAACTGTCATTTAATTGAGGCGGGAGTTCCGCAGGATAGCGTCTTGGGTCCCATCCTTTAGATTCTATTCACCGCAGATATTCCTGCCCATCCTGATACCCTCCTGGCAACATTCCCTGACGATACCGCTATCCTTTTAACCAACTCAGATTCTTAAACAGCGCCATTAAACCTACAAATGCACCTCTCCCTGACTGAACACTGGTGTAAGAAATGGGGCATTAAGATAAACGAATCCAAATGTAAACACATAACCTTCATCCTCGAAGTAAATCCTGCCCACCAGTTTATTTTAACAACATCCAGCTTCGTTTCTCAGATACAGTCCGGTATCTTGGCTTTCTCTTAGACCGACGACTAACCTGGAACCCTCATACTAGACTTAAAAGACAGGAACTAAACCGACGATACGGCCAGCTATACCGACTACTAAACAAAAAATCTAAACTTTCCATTGAAAACAAGCTACTGATTTACAAGACAATACTGAAACCTATTTGTACTTACGGACTAAAACTGTGGAGAACAGCAAAATTTTCTAACATCAAGCGCATCCAATCCTTCCAATCAAAAGTCCTTCGAACAATAGCCGGTGCTCCTTTCTATGTAACCGAAAAAACCCTACATCCCATTTGTCCTAGATCTTATCCTAGAAATATTCTCCAAATTTCACCAGAACCTTACGTACCATCCAAATCCTCTTGCATAATCCCTATCATGCACCACCCATCCATATAATCCTCCAAGGAGGTTGGAACGGCAGTGGCCTCGCGACCTTTTGTAGATGGTATACATGGGAGTTCTGGCAATGGCCAGATTATTCACTCAAGACATGAGTGTATGTAGCTAAAGTGCTCTCGACCAATCTCCGCTGGCTTTAGTACCAGTGACACGGTTGAGAGAGTAGCGCAGGGTTCTCCTGGCGTTCCCTTGCCTGATTGTTAATAGTGTATATTGGTGTGCATGTGGTTTTTTTTTTTTTTTTTGCTTAGTTTTAATTTTCTTATTTTTAGCTTATTTTATTTTATTATTTATTGTATATACTTTTGATTATTATTTTACTTCTATTTATTTTATTTTTTTAGTTGTATATATAGTGTGAATGTTATCCTACCTCACTATAACCAATGTCCAAGAGAGAGATTGTTGTAATACTCAATAAATAAACAAATAAATAAAAAAAAAATTATAATAATTATAGATCGAAATCCTATCAAACCTTAGGTAGAACCATTGAAAATTAAAATCCATATTACAATCAACTAACGACAACAATACATAATATAATACAAAAATAAATTACGATTAGCCTAAATCATAAAGAAAGAGAATTATTAAAAAAAAGATTAGCATTGTTAACACTACGGCATTAATTTATTTTATTTTCTATTTTAAACATTAATTTGGTTAATTGTTATTTTGGTTTGTCTCATAAAATGAAATCAATTAATAATTATATATATATTCATGGGCCCATAGCTTATCTTGTTTATATTTAATAGATCAATAGTTTATACGTAAATTGTTATCGATTGTGGCCCTAGCTATAAACAAGTGCTAGGTTCAAGTACTAAGGCTGTAGAATTGACAACAGGCAATCCGTTATTGAGCTGAGTGCTGCCAACTTCTACACTGCCCACTGCAGTTCTACTGTGAAGAGACGTACTTCTCTCGTCGTGCTCGCCGCTGCCCATTTGCAGATTTAATTATATGAGCGCTCATATTGAATCTGCGTTCAGTCACTGAAGAAGGATTGGAGTGCCAGCGGTTCGTACATATCTACGACCGTCACCTGCTTGGGACCACGTAAAGTTGTTAAACTGTTATTATTTTGTTTTTCGTTTATTTTTGTATAATTCTTACTTTAGGGTCAATATATATATGTTAATTTTTCCATTATTGATTGTGATTTAGGGCCATTACATAGAATTTTTTTATTTAATTTCCATAATTAAATATCGACATATTTTATTAGATATTTTATAATGGCCTTTATTAGCATCGTATTCAGATTATCGTTATTTTCATTTTAGAAGTTATTATTTTATTTTTTATGTCTTCATTATTAGTAGATGTAAATGTTTCAAAATACAGTCTACTTTCTTATAATTATAATCGAATTTAGTAAATTTGACTAAAGTTAAATAAATTTTGTGTTGAATTTTTTCAACACACCAGAAACAGATTTTTTTTAGTCTTCAATTCTTCATCCGCACCTGTCATTGTAGTGAAATTTATTGTTAGGTAGACAATGGCATGATAGGGATGACGAAGAATAGTACCCAGCAGCACTAGCGGATCCAGTTGGGGGGAGCGCCGCCCCCCCCCTTGAGGCTTTCAAGAAAATTTCAAAAAAGTTCCAAAAATCACCTATTTAAAGAAAAGAGAAAGGTGGGAAAATTTATCTTCATACACGAATTTCCAAATGTAATATAAAAAAGAAATTATTATTGTGACCAGCACTAGCGAATTCTGGCAGGGTGCGCGCCCTCCCTTCTCGTTCTTAAAGAAACGAGAAATGTCCT